TCAGGTGCCGTGTAAACCTGAAACTTCTTCTAACTCAAAAAACTCACTTGGATCACGAAACAGGATTCTGCGTGAATTCTTTCTCATGTGGAGCCAAGGACCGAGGTATATCTAGCTTCAGAGAGATCTAACATATTCTCCTGAAGAAACACACAACATTCCTCTAGTTCCTGAAAGTCACCCCACACCCCACCCCGCCCACTATCATGATTCAGTTCTACCTTACAAATCCAGCTAGACTGGAGGACACATATTGGTTCAGATAAGAGCTCTCTCTACACATGGAATCCAGGACAGATAAACCCCTCAGGAATAGTAGTGGGCGTAGCAATACTATGAAGGTATGGGGAGGGTGGGGAAGGTAGAGAAAGGGAGTACCAAGATCACAAAGTTGGAGATATAGCCAGCGCCTGGCCCCCTTTCTGAGGGGGACGAATAACTGTGAGTGAAGGGAGACAACAAACAGTGAAAGATATGAAATAATAATACATAATTGATCAAAGATTCAATTCAAGGGTGGGGGAGGGAGGGGGGAAAAAGGCGAGCTGATACCAAGGGCTCAAGTAGAAAAAAAAATGTTTTGAGAATGTTGATGGCAACATATATACAAGTGTGCTTAATACCTGGAATGGATTGTTATAAGATTTTACAAAATGATTTTTTGTAAAAAAGACCTTCTTTCTTTCTGCCCCAATATCAAAATATCAATCAAAGATATGTACCAATGGTACTGTAGTCTACACACCATTATATTTCTATAGCAGTGCTCTAACTTCTAAAGAACCTCAACTGTGAGTGTTTTGCATCACAAATATCTTTACATATAAGACATTGAAGTTATGAATATAGAAGTTTCTTCATACTGATTGTTTTTTGAAGGTCAAACCCCACTCCTATGGGGGCTGGGAGCAGTGTCTAACTTTATATATATATTAAAGTTCAGATAGCGTTTTTCTGAGTGAAATGGCTGTGCCAAGTTAATGATATAACATAGTCAAGGTTCTTTACTCTCCCTTGCCTGGAAAAACATCATATAGGGTGACTTTTAATCTGCTAATTATATCTTACAAGAAATTCATCTCCTTAGCAATATAAGTAATTATCTTAGTTTTACTGGCTTTTATATAAAGAGTATCTTAATACACATAATACAGTGAATTTTCTAAAAAGGTTTTGCTGGGATCTGGCCAGTTTTTAATCACTTGCTTCTTTGCATCTCATCTGAGTCTGTCTCTCTTTGACCAATATTATAAAATTTATACAACAGTCTATTTTCTGGAAAAGCAATTAGATTACCTAGCCTCATGTATTACCTTGATTAGACAGCCTGAGGCTCAGTACTTTGGAAAAGAAGGTCAGCCAGAACAATAACCCTTGGTCTGAAGCAATGAAAATGCCTCTCTAGATTCTGGTCAATATTGTCGGCAGTGCAAATTTTCCTGTTTCCATAAATCTCTAGGCTTGTCACCACCAATTATTCAGTTTTCAGGGTTATTACACTAATTTCTTATGGAAGAGTCAAAGTCAAGATGGAGTCAAAAGGTGAAAAGCACTGAGCTGATGGTAAGAGAACAAGTAGCATGGGGAACGAAGTATGAATGCACAAATCGAAGAGAGAAGACCAAGGTAAGGCATATACCAGAAGAAATGGGTAAACCCAACTGAACGAACATCAGTCAAGTATTTACTGTCTCATGTTTGCCAATCCCAAATTATCATTTATTTTCTGGGTTTCAAGCCTCTCTCCTCAATATTTATTTAACCTAAATGCTGTTCACCTTTCTCCACCACAAACAGCCAGTGCAATGTTCCTTACCTCCTGGTTTGTAGACAACGTCATCCTCTGTGATGTAGGAGGTTATTTCGCCAGTGTCTGTTCTTTCATAACGAGATTTTTTTTTCGGCGGTTTCTTTTTGTTCTTCTTTGTGGACTCCTCTGTGGTGGCACTATTGTTGTCATTGTCTTCGTCTTCACTATGGTCACTTTCAGCATAATTTTTCGCTCCCCCTTCCAAGGTACAGCTCCTCCGTGGTCTTGAATTCTCATTCTCTCTGGCTTTGTCTCTTTTATCTCTCTCTCGGTCCCGATCTCGGTCTCGGTCCTTCTCTTTGTCTTTGTCTTTGTCTTTGTCAGCAGTCATGATTCGCCACGTGCCTTCTTCTGTCCTCTCACGGCTAGGCCTCCGTGAAAGGTAGACAGTAAGCCTGGGCTTCAGTCTTCTGAATTTCTCACTCAATTCCAGGAAAAATCCAACCACTCCAACAACCCCAACGTTTCAAAAGTGCTAGTTAGGAGAGAATAAAAAAATAAATTAATTTTTACCTTATTTTCACATTTATTTCTGACACTAACATTTGTGTTAATTGAATCCCTTAATTACTCATGTTTTAGTTCTAAAATTTTTCTCACAGACTACAGGAAATAAGTTAGAAAACCCTAATCTCAACCTCAGTTGTCTCACAGTCTACAATAAACACTCTCTCAGGAACTGACCCAACGAAGCTATGCCCATGGTCTCTGCTCAGGGTTCTGATGCAAAATAAGGAAGCAACTGATTAATTTCTCGTGTTACTAGTGCTAGATAGAAAAGAACATAAGAAACAAACAATGGAATCTCTTCATTTAAGAAAGCAAACAATAATCAGTTGGCAATTTTTGCCTCAGATTTTCAATTAAGGTCAAATCTGATACCAGGAATAAACCTTTCCATGTGCACTTCAAACATTCTTAGGCATTTGGGGGGGAAAATTTTTTTTTAATGTTAACAGTAACCTTTGGAATATATACTGATGAAGAAGCAAAAGCACTGAGGATATATAAGCAAAGTTAAAAGTATGTAACACAAAACTGGATTACTTTCTTCAAAAAAAAATTTTTTTTCAGATAGGATTTCAACTTTCTAAACATTTCAAGAAAAGGAAAAATTATTCCAGTGCTTATAAAAGTTCAGATGAATCATCTGCTAAACAGAGATTAAGTCATAAACTCTTAAGTCCCTGTAGGACACAATTGTTGGCAAATGCACTGGGCTTAAGTTTGGACCCTGGACAAGCCAATCAGACAAGAAGGTGGGGTAAGGTAGGGGGAATCAACTCATCAAGCTGTTAAAACATGCCTCCCTGATACTGAAAACAGTTGGGAGTGAGTCTAATGATAGTCTGAAAAGAACAAGAAATCTAGAGAGAGAACTTCTCTCTGGCAATTTAGTATAGAAATATTTCTAATTAAGGAAGAAAAAAATGATGACTGACAAACACCTGCCCCCAGAAAATTAGTAAAAGTATTATTTAGCATCCAAAGAGGAAAAAACTACCAAGTCCAAATTATATATTCAACACTATTCCTTACAATGTTATAGTGTTTATATATACAAAGAAATGAGTTGCTTCTACCAAGAGTGAGCAAGTAAGAAAAATCCAAGAAACAAGACAATACAATAGCTATAAAATAAAATCCAGTGTTAGATATGAACAACTTCCAGATAATTAAGAACACTAGTAATCCAATGCAAAAATAAATCCATTTAATATTTACATTTGGCTCTAAAATATAGCTCAAGGATATTTTTATTTTTTCCCTGTATACTAACCATAATTTTTCTGAGCCTCATTAGCCAGTGACCAATATACACTAATAGTCTGGTACTTGAGGAAAAGAGTCCTAGAAAGGAACCAGATAGTGCGGAGATGGGAAATTATCAATGAAATTTCCTAGAGATGATCTCCAAAGTAGACAATGCAGGAACAACATCTTTACAGCAACAGAGGGTTTAAAAAGCAACCCCCTGCCTTTATCTAGTTCAATTCCTTCTCTTTACAACTCTGAGAAGTAAGCCACACAGATATGGTTATCCCCACTTTTCAGAACATAAAACTGAAGCCATGAACAGACAATCTACCCAAGCTTACACAGCCAATTGGTAAAGAATGGGACTCCACAGCAGTCCTTTAAAAGCTCTGGACGTTTTTCCTACACATTATCTATCTATGCTGACAATTCACAGTGGTAGATTTTTTTTTATTATTAAATACTTTTATTGGGGGCTCTTACATCTCAGCACCATCCATCCATCCATCCATCCATCCATCCATCCATCCACCCACCGTGTCAAGCACATTTGTACATATGTTGCCAACATCACTTTAAAGCATTTCCTTTCTACTTCAGCCCTTGATATCAGCTCCTCATTTTCTCCCCTCCCTCCCCCAGCCCTCCCTCTTCATGAGCCCTTGATACGTTATAGATGATTATTTTCATATCTTACATCATTCTCTGTCACCCTTCACCCACTTTTCTGTTGTTTGTCCCTCTGGGAGGGGTTATATGTCGATCCTTGTGATCGATTCCCCCTTTCTCCTCCCACCTTCCCCTTATCCTCCTGGTATCTCTATTCTCACTGTTAGTCCTGAGGGGTTTACCTATCCTGGATTCCCTGTGTTGCAGGCTTTTATCTGTAACAGTGTACATGTTCTGGTCTAGTCAGATTGATAAAGTAGAACTGAGGTCATAATGGGGCGGGGGGACGCATTAAAGAACTAGAGGAAAGTTGTATGTTTCATTGGTGCTATACTGCACCCTGACTGGCTCATCTCTTCCTTGTGACACTTAAGTAAGGGGATGTCCAATTGTCTACAGATGAGCTTTGAGTTTCCACTCTCCTCCCCAGCCCCCACCCCTTCACATTCGTATGGTTTTGTTCTGGGTCCACACTTAGAGATTTTTAAAAGCACACCCACTTTTGTCCTCCTCTTTACCTTACCCCTCACCTCTCCACCTCGACCAACAAATGACATTTTTCCCCAATTGAAAAGCCAAAATACTGAAAATACTCCACTTAATTCCTGCTCAACTCAATGAAGCAGGAAACATAGAACATACTTTAAAAATAACGAAGAAAACAAAAGCTAGAATACATCTCAAATTCACAATAGTCTTCATCTACTCTCAGAACAAAAGTTTCCTTAGTGGCTACTACGTAATAGGCATTGCTCTTGGCACTGAGAAAATGGCAAACTCTGTCCTCACTGAGCTTATGTTCTAAAAATAAAGACATTAAATAAAAAGATAATGCATATAGTACTTGAAAAGATTTCAAATGGTATATCCAATAGGACAGTTATGTGGAAGAATTGTGAATTTAAACACAATGATCAAAGAAGGGTGCACTCAGTGTAACACTGAGTAACAGTGTTACAAAAGAAGCCACCAGGACAGCTGACAGGTGACCAATCCAGCAGTGGGGAAAAACAAATGTAATGTCCAGGGGCATGAGCAGCCAGGCATACTCAATAGAGCTGGGGCAGCAGGAGGAAGGAGAGTGGTCAAAGGTGAAAAGGGAGGAGGAGAGGGACTGGGTTCTGCTGGACCTTGTAAGGCAACATAAAGACTTTGGTTTTTGCACAGGTCATTGGGAGAGTGGAGTGAAACTTCAGCCAGTGCAGGGATCCAAGTAGCAAAAACAAAGCTGCAGGAGTACAGGGATTGCAGCAGGAAGACCTTGGGAAGAAGCCTAAAACAATAAGCCAAGCAAGAGTGGGAGCTGGAGGGGAGGAAGGTGGTACCAATTGCAATGATTGACACATAACCACACACCCACACCCCGAGGGAGACAAACAACAGAAACCATGGGGGAAGAGAGACATTATCATAAATTATAATAATTTATCATTTATCAACAGCCCATGAAGAGGGGAGGAGGAAAGGAAGAGAAAAATTAAAGCCAATACCAAGGGCTCAAATAGAAAGTAAATGTATTGAAAATGATGATGGCAACAAATGTACAAATGTGCTTGACACAAGGGATGTATGTATGGATTATGCTAAGAGTTGTACGAGCCCCCAATAAAATGATTTAAAAAATAAAAAAACTTCCTTTCGGTATATCTGAAAAGGCAGGTAAAGAGAAGAGGTCCAAGCTGAAGATTACAATTTAGTTTTTAATTTTACTTTTAAAGTCATTTGACCAGATGAGAATAATTTTTTAAAGTACAAATGTAAAACCCACAGAGGCAAGCATTACTAAGGCATGGTGAAGAGAACATTCCTGATTATCGAATTGTATTTCAACATTTTACCTTAATTGATCAATAAGTGGAATAAGTCACCAGCAAGGAAACACATACATACACACACACACACAGAAAGAAATTTGGTCATTTGGTTTTAATCTAATCAGGATAAAACACCTTCAACAGAGTTAATGATACAAAGCTATACATTACTTCAATCTCTATACAAACTTCATTTTGCCTTTTCAATATGAAGCTAAAAATCACACACTGACACCTCGCACTACTTATCAGAATCAATTCAGATAAAGGACTAAAACTTTGGTCATCCTTTGGATCCAAACTTTGTAAAAGAAAACCACTCAGAAATAGGGAAGGATACAAATACAGAGGAGTCACAAATTGACAGGTGGGATATACTGAAGATAAATCACCTGAGTGCATAGAAAGAATTCACCAAAAGAGTAATATTAAAGAGCCCACAGGCTGGGAAAACATCTTTAGCAATGACACATCAGACACAGGCCTTATTACTAAAATCTACAATACTTTGCAAGCTTACAATAAGAAAAAAAAATAAAAGCCCACTAAGGAGGTCAGGAAAGGACCTGAAGTGAACAGGAGTTTCACAGGGGCAGAAATACGAATGGCCAATAAACATATGAGAAAACATTCCCAATCATTAGACATAAGAGAAATGCAAATTAAAACAACTATGAGATACCATCTAACACCCTCAAAGATAGCCCAATTCAAAAAATCAGAAAGTAACAAGTGTTAGAGGGGTTGTGGGGAGATATGAACACTTGTCCACTGCTGGTGGACCTGTAGGTATGTACAGCTATTATGAAAATAGATCTGGCGTTATCTAAAACAGATGGACACTGAGCTGCCATACGACCCAGCAATCCCCCTACTGGGCATATAGCCAGAAGAGGCAAGAAACAAACCACGGTCAGACATCTGTGCTCCAATGTTCATCGCGGACAGTTCACAATTGCAAGGAGTTGGAAAAAAGCCAAATTTCCATCAACAGACGAATGGATCAAAAAACTGTTACGTACATAGAATAGAGTACTACGCATCCCTAAAAAAGCAGCGATGAATGCATGAAACACATTGCTGCATGGGAAGAACTGGAGGAAATCATGTTAAGTGCAGTAAGTCAAGCACAAAAGGGCAGATACAACATGAGTCCACTGAGATAAGCTTAAATTTTTTTTTAAAACAGGCATAGGGGGAAAGTTACTATATACATACATCCCTGGGGTGAGGT